TTCACTTAAGTTATAAGAACTAATTAGAACCCTAAGCTATTGGCCAAGCTTTCATAATTAATAGTAAGTCTCCATGTGGTTATTTGGGAGCTGGCTGGTGGGACAAAGACAGGCTTGCTATGAGAGAGATAAAGAACAAGTTTCATTCTTCCATGTCCTTTATATAGGCTGCCAGCAGAAGATGTGACCCAGATTAAAAGTGTATCTTCCCACCTCAAACATCTGAATTAGAAATGGGTCTCTCCACTTCAAATGATTTAATTAAGCAAAAATTTCTCGCAGGCATGACCAGCAATTTTTGGGTTTTACATTCTAGAAGTAGTCATGTTGACAACCAAGAATAACCATCATAAATCTATAGTCCATTTTTTATTGGGTTATTTGTTTCGTTGATTTTTTTCAGTTATTTGTATATTCAACCTATTAACCAATATTTGAATATACAGCTAGTAAAGGTTTTCCCCAGTTCTGTAGGTATTCTCTTTACTAGATTGGCCATTTCTTTTTCTGTGCAAAACCTTTTTAGCTTTTTGGTTTCATGAGTTCACAAATGTCAATTGTTGGCCCCATTTCCAGAGTCAACAGAGTCCTAGCAAGAAAGTCTTACCTTGTCTTTTCTCTATTACTTAACTTCTCTTCTAGAAGTTTCACAGTTTTGGGTTTCACATTGAGATCTTTTACCCATTTGGGTTTTGTGTAGGTAAGAGATAAGGATCTAGTTTCATTCTTCTACATGTAGATATTCAATTTTCTCAACACAATTTGTTGAAGATGCTGTCTATTCTCAAATGTGTAGTTTTGGTTTTTTCCTAGTTTCATTTTTGTTATTGTGATAAGTGCCTTCACAAAAAGCAACTTAGTGAAAAAAGGGATACCCTACTCTACAATTCCAGATTGGAGACAATAATTGTAAGGAACGAAGGGCAGGAAATTTGAACAGCTGGCCACATCACATACATAGTCAAGAGCAGAGAGAAATGAATCCCTATATGCTCACTTGTTTACTTGTACACAGCTTTTTTTTCTCAACACTGCAGTTCAGAATCCCTGCCTAGAGAGTGGCACCACCCACCATGGGCTGGATCTTTCCATATCAATTAACTTAAGTAAGACAATCCTTCACAGACATGCCCACAGGCCAGCTCATATAGACAGTCCCTCATTAAAACTCTCATCCTACCTAATTCTAGATTGTGTCAAGTTGACAAAGCTAACTATAATGGTGTCTTTTTCAAAAATCATGTGGCTGGTTTTGAATGGACTTACAAACTGGTTATAGTTACATTATATGTAGACCTAAATATGGGTCTTCTATTTCATTGATTTGCATATCTGTTTCCTTGACATGAGCATAATGGTTATTATTATTATATCTCTGTAACTTGAGAATAAGACAAGTGAGGGAGATAGAGGGGATTCAAGTAGGAAAGGAAGTCAAAATGTCCTTATTTGCATGTTCTATGCTTCTACATATAAAAGACCCTAAAGACTCCACTAGAAATTTCATACAGTTCATTAACACACTCAAGAAAGCAGCAGAAGAAAAAAATTGACACACAAAAGGCAGTAACCTTCCTATTACCAAAAAAAAAAGCATACTGAGAAAGAAATCAGGAAAACCATTCCATTCTTAATAGCCTCAGAAAGTATCCTAGAATAAATCTAACCAAGGAAATGAATGACTTTTACAATGAAAACTTAAAGACATTGACAAAGGTTGTGTGTTTTGATATGATCTTTTAGCCAGCATGGCCAGACTTCTTCAGCAGAACCAGGTTATGCAGCTTGGCAGATTCCAAGGCTGGAGAACTAGGAGAGCACATCTCCTACCTGCCCACATGGACATCTGAATAGAGTCCTGAGTAGGGATGGTAGTTTGGGCTGGTTGGGAGGGTTCTGAGCAGTTGTAGCCAAGGGAAACAGTTCTCTTGTCCGGGTAGCCATGTAGGGTGGATGCCTGGAGAGGATACCTAGTTGGAGGGGATGAGTTGAGAGCAAAGCTGGGTCAGGTCTCTTACAATGGGGATGTTTTATGGACTGCATGCCACCTGAAAAGTCTACAGCATGGTCACGATGGAGTCTCAGTGAAGGCAGGAAGGGTTTGGGGGGCCTAGGAGGAAAAAGGTGAAGACCTTGCCCCGTGATGAAGTTTGACACTGGCCCTTGGGAAAGGAAGGTTGGTGGTGATGGTGGTGGGGGCGGTGGTTAGCAGCACATGGGGGAGGAAGAGTTGAAATAACAATTTTTGAAAAAATAAAGCATTTGAAAATCAAATAAGCATTTTAAAAAGCCATGGTAACTCGTTAGAAAACAGTTATCCATATGTCTGAATATAAAACAAAATATGTCGATAACAAAGTTTAATATGGATGGTCTAATGCACCAATCCAAAGATAGATTAACAGGGGTGTGTGTGTGTCACGTTTCTGGAACTGAAGCAGCGAGGAGACTGAAGAGGGAGGATCATGAGTTTGAGGCCACCTGGGGATACAGAAAAAAAACTAACAAAGAGGCTGTCAGAATTAATTACAAAAGAAGACTCAACTATGTTTTGTCTATATGAAACCCTGTTAAAGCAAACCTGATTGCTTACAGGTAAAGGATGATGGAAGCCATAGTACATTAACTCTAGCTACCAAGTGAGTCCCAGGAAAGGTGCAAAGCTACACAGAGAAAACCTGTCTCAAAAAATGAAAGAAAGAAAGAAAGAAAGAAAGAAAGAAAGAAAGAAAGAAAGAAAGAAAGAAAGAAAGAAAGGAGAAAGAAAACTGTACTAGTTATATCAGTTTTATTCAATACAGACTTCAAAACAAGGGAAATAATCAGGAACAAAACAGGAGGGGTAACTCATAATTTTAAAGGGGCAAATTCTTTAAGAAACCATAATAACCCTAGATGTGTATACTGAACAACTAAGTGTCAGAATGCATAAGATAAAATAGTATAATACTGAGTCATAAGCGTGAGAGAAAAAAGATCAATCTCCTATCACAGATGTGTAATTAAACATTCCTCTATCTATAATAAATAAATTAGCCAGAAAAAAATCAGAAAAAAATACAATTTCCTGAACAATAATAATATGTGTAGTCCTAACAGTAATAGAACAATGCATACTTCCCCAAGCTAACATGGAACATTCATGAGCACTGAACCCATTCCAGACCATATAGTAGAAAGTATAAAGGATATTTTAGGCGAACAGTGCAAATAACCAAGAAATCCCAAGCCTAAAAGACAACTATGAACATTCCAAATTAAAAAAAAAACCTAAATACCATATTTAAAATATTAAATGTTTAAATTAAATTAAAATTTAATCAAAGATTAGACATCAAGAATGATTAAAATATAGTGACGTAAATGAAAAAGAAAATACATCAAAGTTTATTGTCTATAGCAAATGCAGCTTGAAGGGAGATGTATACAGCATTAAGTGCATATTACATTTAAAGAATAAATATGAAATACTCAAAATACATTTGCACTTAAAACACTAGAGAAGGAACAATTAAAGCCCAAAACAAGAAGAAAAAGTTATGGAAGAAATTAGTTAAATCAAAAACAGGAGAACAATAGAGATAATCAGTGTGAAGGTTAGCATCCATTGTCAACTTAACAGAATCTAGAATCACTATGGCAGTGGGTCCTGGGCATGGCAGTGGGGATTATTTGGATTAGTAAATTGAGACTGGAATACCCATCCTATAGTGGGCGGCACCAGCCCCCAGGCTTAGAGTCCTACCAAGTAAAGGAGAAAGTGTGGTAAGTGTATCTATTCATGACGCTCTTCTTGCTGATTCTGGATACTATGTGATCATCTACTTAGACTTCTGCTACCTTAAAATTCCTTCCACAGTGCACTGTACCCTAGAACTGTAAGCCAAAATAATCCCTTACTCCATCAAGTTACCTTTATCTGTGTGTTTTTATCACAACAGGAACTGTATTGACTTGACAGATTGTAAAAATACAGTCATTACTACATAACTCTATACTCACATGTTTGAATGGTTAGATAAATCGACCAATTCTATGAAAGATACAGTTATTGAAATGTATACAAGACAAAAATAATTAACAGCCCTATACCCATAATCAAATCACCAGAGCCACATTGCTTCACTAGTTAATTCTATCACATATTTAATAAAGGCATGTTGCCAATTTTATAGAATATCTTTCAGAAAATGGAAGTGCAGAGAACCCCTCATTTATTCTATGATGTCAGCTTTTTGCAAATACCAAAGTGAGATAAAGGCATTGCACAAATTGGGAGGACAGCAGCCTTACTATCTCCCATGTGTAGAGGTGAATGAATTCACAATGCTACGAGCATGTTGAGTGCAACAACACATAAAAGCAGGTACAGAATGAACAAATAATACTTACATATGTAACTACTTAAACCTCTAGAAATCCATGTAATCCATCACACTAAAAAATTAAAAATTGTGTGTTCTATAATTCACTGCAGGAAAAAAAAATTTGCTGAAATTTAATAATCATTTGGGATAAATGAAAAAAAAACTTCCAGAAAAGTAGGGATTTCTCAGCTTAATAAGGAATATTACAAAACCCTACAGCCAAAATCATAGTTAGTGACATGAAACTGGATATTTCCTCCTAAAATTAGTAACAAGGCAAGGATATTCTATCTCATCATACCTATGCTATATTGTATCAGAAACTCTACTTAGTTCAGTATAGTAAGAAAAAAAGAAATGAAATAGATACTGACTTCTTTAGAAGAAAAAAATACTGTATGTTTTGTGGATTCACAAAAAACAATCCCCAAATGGATAAGAAAGTGTAGCAAGGCCACAAGATACAAATTGATACATATGTCAACTGCTTCCATATATCCAACATTGAGAAACAGAAACTTAAAAACATGATTTATAAATAGGAGATGGTGGCTTGTGGCCATAATCCCAGCAATCAGGAAGCAGAAGCTTGGCAGTGTAAGAGATCAGCCTGAGCTGCAGAGGGATACTTACCTAGAAAGGCAGCCAATGACTGGGAATGAAGTTCAGTACCAGAACACTAGGCTGGCATGTGCAACATCCTTGATTTGATCTTTAAAATGGAAAAAAAACATAGTAACACCAAAAATGATTTACACATAAATGTCACAAAATATATATAATATATTTATATTATTATATAATATATAATATATATATGCAGAAATTTACAAAACATTTCTGAAAGAGTTAAAATAGGTGTTAACAAGTGGGGGTGTATTTAATATACAGGGATGGGAGGACTCAAAAGGTTGAATCTTACAAATTTAATGTACAATTTCACAGGAATATAAATAAATATCTAGAAAGCTATTTTATAGATATGTACAAACAAATTAAGGTTTTATGAAAAGGTGGAAGACTTGCAGTGGTCAATATAACACAGCCAAAGAGAACAAATTGAAGGAGAAATACTACTTGCCTGTGTGCTTTACTATTAGGCTATAGATAGACTATTAGGCAGCGAGGTATAATTATCCATAGATTGATGAAGTGGAACAGAGAGCACAAGATAAGCCATTCTTGCATTTCCCACAATAGCCAATAAAAAATGGATCACAAACTAAACATAAAACTGCAAAACTCTAGAGGAAAAAAGTAGAAGCAGATCTACATGACCTTGATTTGTGATGCTTAGATACAAATAGCAAAGCATGGCACTTGAAAGAAAAAGATCTTAAGCTGGACTTACTTAGAATTAAAGAATTAATATAGAACATAGGTTCTACAAAAGACAATAAAAATTGGAAAGATAAGCCTCAGACTAGCAGGAAAATATTTCAAAAACTCATCCCAGAACTTCTCTCCAAGTAGGCACAGGACATTAAAATTCAACCATAAGAGAATGACCCAATTCAAAACTGGAAAAAAATAGGAATGTCATAAAAAGATACACAAGTGGAAGATACACAAATGCAAATGTACCCAACATTATTTTTCATCGGGAAGTTGAAAAGTGAAACAATAATCATATACCTTTTAGATGTTCCATGTGGTTACATGCGTCAGTAGCTCTTTTTTGTTGCTAAGTACTGTCCTCATTAATCTTGATTGGATAGAGAAGAACCTATAAGTTTAGAAAAGCATATTTACTGGTGTCTCTATGATAGTATTTTCAGAGAGGATTAACCAAAGGAGGAAGGCCCTTATCCTCCTGTTCTTTTGGCTGGGGGCCCAGATAGAATAAATGGGTGGTGGGGATGGGAGGAGCAAAGGATGTAACATTCTCCCTGTTCCCTGATGCTATGGTGTGAGCTGCTGGGCCCTGCCCTCCCAACCACAATGAACTGAAACCTCTGAAAATATTATGTGTGTGTGTGTGTGTGTGTGTTGTTGTTGTTGTTCAAACACTGGTGTAATTTATGCCTGTTTTTCTTCACTTGAGTGGTTTGTATGCTTGCTTAGAGAAGAAATCAGTTGACTAAAAAAGAAAGACACAGTCATAAACTAAAGGTAGGAATATCACATTCTCCTTGAGATAGGAACTAAACTCTGTAGCATGAATTTTTAGAAGTCTTATTAATAGATAACTTGGGGCCAGGTATTGGGGTGAACGCTGAAAGATCAGAGAAACAGAACAAGCCACATCCAATCTCACCTTGCCAACTTCTCAGCCGATCCTGTCTCCTCAGACTGAAAGCCTCTGAGTCCTCATCCAAATGGATCTCATCTGAACTGCTACTAAAAGCCAAAAGCTTAAAAAGGCTCTAGTTCAAGCTGGGCGGTGGTGGCGCACGCCTTTAATCCCAGCACTCGGGAGGCAGAGGCAGGCAGATCTTTTTGAGTTTGAGGCCAGCCTGGTCTACAGGGCGAGATCCAGGAAAGGCACAAAGCTACACAGAGAAACCCTATCTCGAAAAACCAAAAAAAAAAAAAAAAAGGCTCTAGTTCCTGGTCCTCATGCCTTTATATACCTTTCTGCTTCCTGCCATCAATTCCTGGGATTAAAGGTGGATGCCACCATGCCTGGCTCAGTTTCCAGTGTGGCCTTGAAATCACAGAAATCTGATGGATCTCTGCCTCCAGAATGCTAGGATTAAAAGTGTATGTGCCACCATTTTCTAGCCTCTATGTCTATCTAGTGGCTGTTCTGTTCTTTGACCCCAGATAAGTTTATTAGGGTGCACAATATATTGGGGGGACACAATATCACCACAAAACTCCCTCTCAAGTGGGAATCACTTCCCCCAGTACCCTTGCTGGAATGCTTCTTCTTTATTTAAATTTTGGTCGTTCACCTCTAATCAGCAGGTGTACATATCAGACAACTAAAAGGCATTAGGGCACCTGCCATGACAAAGCTCTCAAGATGGAATAACTTGGAGAAGAAAAAAGCACTAGGAATCTTAAGACTAGAGTAAAGTTATAGGTTAAAAAAAGAGGCAATGATTGTTGATGAGATTAGTGCCACGAAAGAGAAGCCTCTTGCTTTCTATTAGAAAGACAGAAAAGATGCCCTAAGAGTAAGAACCCACCCAGACAAATCTCTAATTTGTGGAAGAAAACAAAAACTGATGCTACCGAGGTCCAAGGGGACAAGGGTCAATCCCAAACTGACAGCTGAATGTGGTAGTGTCCTGGTGGTACCAGCTTTGACTGCATAAAAGATGCAAGATTGAGAAAGTAATGGATTCTTCCTCTGTGATTTCAGGAAGCTTATAAGGCCAGGGAACATGAGGCAGCATTGGAGTTTCTCTGAGGAGACCCTTAGAGGCCACTGGACAAAGCTGTTAAGATGATGCCTGGGTTGTGTTAGAGACTCCCAAGATTTGGAGATGCCATGGGATAGCAGCCGAGAAGAACTGCATATAGAGAGTGAAACCAGCCAAAGGGAGCTGCAGGCTGCGGAACTACAGGTGTGCAGCCATCTAAGGGCTTTGACCTGAAGCTCCTCCAGATACCAGACGGAGAGCTACAGGATCTGGTGCTTTCTCTGGTGTATTCAGCCTTGCTTCTGTCTGCTCTTCCCTCACTGCGCCTTCGTTCCTCCTTTTAGGAATGGGAAAGTGTATCCTGTAGCATTCATTGTATGTTGGAATTATGTAATTTGTTTTTGTATTTTACAGGGAGTCAATTAAGAGATTCCCTTGGGTCTTAGAAGATAATTTGAACTTTTGAACAGTGATAAGACTATTAAAGGTGATGAGGACTTTTGATATTGGACTAAACACCTTTTGCATTATGATACGGCCATGAGTGTATGAGAGCTATAGGCAGAATGTGGTGCTTTGATTGAGAAACGCCCACCCCCCCATCAGTGCTGTGATGGAACCTTTTGGAGGTGGAGCCTTGCTGGGGGAAAAGTCACTGGGGGCGGACTTGGAGGGTTTATAACTTTGATGCACTTCCTGTCCTTTCTCTCTGCTTCCTATATGTGGATTGAAATGTAATCAGCTAGCTTCCTAACTAACATGACATGCCTTCTCTGTCATTATGGGATCCGGCTCTCTAGAACCATAAGCCCCAATTTTTCACTCCTTAGGTTGCTTTTGGACAGCAACAGAAAAATAACTAATACAATGGCCCTCTCTTTTCTGTAAAAAGGGCTGATGTAATCATCCTTTTCTAATAAGGGAAAAATCATCGCTTATTTGATTCAAACTTATGAAACACCTTGTGGATTCTCCCTCTTCCATTTCCTGAGCAAACAGGCACTCCCAGATTGTACTACTTCACTGACTTACTTTGTTAGGAATATGGCCTGCCAGAACCCTATTCTTAAAATGATTATAATAAATCATCTGCTCCTAACTATAGATATGACTTATCCACCAACTCCCAGTCAGGCAGAATCTCAAAAAATGATTCAACACCTTACACAAGAATCTTACTGGGAGACTGGGTCCCTCCAACCAGAAATTGATCAGAAGTCACTGTTTGTACTCAGGGATACCATAATTAGAAAGAGTGCAGAGACCTTGCCTTGGAGGAGGTGGGAGTGGGGGTTGGGTTAGGGAGGAAAGCTGGGCGTGGGAGGAGGGAGGACAGGGGAATCTGAGGTTGATATGTAAAATGAATAGAAAATCTCTTAATAAAAAAGAGTACAGAGGTTATGGGGGAACTCACAAAGACAAAGACCACAAAGAAGTCCCTGCAAAGTCTACCATAGGTGGATGCTGAACATCTCCAGCATCCAAAGGATATACTCCCAGGAATCTACATCATGCTCACCCCTCTCCAGGAGACACTCTTTTGGTGGAGTCGGGTCAATAGCTCTCCGTGTTTGTTCTTCTCTCCCCCCTGCTGTAGGTTATCATTGAAAAGTCTTCTTTTCTACCAGACTTCCCTTGGGTATTTTACACATTGGCACATGTTTAACTCACACAACCCCAGGAAAAGGCATATTATATTTTACTGTAACACTGCTTAGCCCCATAACAGCTTGGGAGTGGAGAGAGATGGCTCCCAAATGGCAGATTTAACCACAGTACTATTTTTTTTCAGCTACACCTTTTCTTTAGAAAAAAAAGTTTGAAATTCTTTAAGTACAAGCCCTTAGGGGCCTCTACCAAGATCCTTCCATTTACCAAGAAATCAGAGAAACCTGCAAAGAAGGAAACTCCAATCCTGGCCGGATGTTTTGGATTTTGGATGACCCATTCCTTGGGAACTTGAATGTCTAATTTCAGGGCTTCCTTACCATCCTACCCTAATGTTTGATCAACCGTCATCATAAGAAAATCAGAAGATAGCATCTAAGAAGTATAGCAGTGACTTCCCCGCTTTGTTGTCACATGTTCAGTTGATATTTCCAACAATCTCTCTCCCCTCCGTGTGTGTGTGTGTGTGTGTGTGTGTGTGTGTGTGTGTGTGTGTGTATGTGTGTGAACAAACATAACCATCTTGGGGACTAACTCCATTGAAGAAGCAGGTGCTTGCATAGTCTCTTTTAATCAATCCTAGTCAGAAAACTAAAAGGATCCACTTGAATGGGGGATGCCTTAAGTGAATGGGATAATGGAACATTAAAGTGATATGAAAGTAGAGAGAGGGTATGCTGGCAGTGGAAGTTTAAGCAGAATGGGATGGGGGATAACATTAATAAAAAGGAAGGTTCTTTGAAAAACCCATATGGAGCCTACTACTTTATAATGTCTTAGTTACTTTTATGTTGCTGTGAAGAGGCCATGACCAAGGAAATCTAGAGAAGAAAGAGTTTATTAGGGCTCAATAGTTTCAGGAGGTCCATGATCATCATAGAGGTGGACATGGCAGCAGGCAGGCAGGCATGATGCTGGAGCAGTAGCTGAGAGCTCATATCCTTATCTGAAGAGAGAGAGAGAGAGAGAGAGAGAGAGAGAGAGAGAGAGAGAGAGAGAGAGAGAGAGACTTACTCTGGGAATGGTATGGGCTTTTGAAACCTCAAAAAGCCCACTCCCAGTGACACATCTCCAAAAGGGCTACACCTCCTAATCCTTTCCAAACAGTTCCACCAACTGAGGGCCAAATATTCAAACACATGAACCTGGGGGCGGGGGTGGGGATTTACTCATTCAAACTACTACAATAAGCTAGTTTAATGTTTATGTAAAAAAAAAACTAACTAACAAAGAGTTAGAAGGAGGTATCCTCAATGGCTAGACAATGTGATTCTTAAAATCCAATAGTTATTAAAAACAAACAAACAAAATTCCAGTGCAGGGTGTAAGATATCTCTTTACTGGTTGTTGCTTAGAGAAACCCTGGAGACACCCACAACAGTTATCATCAGATCAAGCTGATAAGATCCTGCTGGTGAAAACACCACACACCTTTCTTACCAGACATAGGAGAATCAAAGGGGAACTGAGCTGGAAGTGTCCTATGTGACAGGAACAGTGAGGGAGTGCAGAGAAGACAGACACACATACAGAAAGGCATGGGTGGGGTGGGCTCTTTTTCCTCTGGTAGAGTGGTATCAACCACTCAACAACTTGGAACCTCAGTGTGCTTTTTCATGTACAGAACTGGAGGAGGGGGCAGCTAGTCTTGGTAGGCAGTCTCTGTAGGCAAGACGTCTCCGGTTGTAGCCATCCCCAAGGAAGAAGGTGTCATTGCCAGTTTTTGCACACACTGCCAACATTCTCATCCAAACCAGAGGAAGGCTTTGCCATCGCTCCGAGCCTCATTGCCAGGGGCCGGAGGAAGGCCTTGTCAAGTCCTTTGGGTCTGAGACATTGGGCTCCTTAACGTGGCGGCGCCATGTCAAACAATACACATTCACTTAGAACTTCATCCACTTTTTACACAGCTACTCAGAGGTTCCTTTGCTCCCCATACCCAACTAATTTAACTATAGTTAAAGATTATTTAAAATCTTAAAGTTCAAACTTCAATAGTCTGAGGTGAAAGTGATGCCTGATTCTTTGTTTACAAAAATGTTTTCTTAAATATTGGTCTGCTTAGAAACATTTGCCTAAAGCCAACTCACAGAATAAGGATTTTATGCTTTATCATTTCACAGAACCCATGGAGGTTTGGTGACTAGACCTTATACAAATGTTAAGTTTGTGTCTTTTCCCTTTGGGGCAAAGTTGTTTTGTTTTGTTTTGTTTTGTTTTGTTTTTTTACTTTCAGGTCGTCCCCATATTAGCAGTAGGAGGGATTCTATGAAAAGAATTGCTCACACTTGGGGCACTCCCAGATAAATTACAAAGATTTTAACACAGTTGTAAAATTTTGCATATTATGCTATGGTTAAACTCTCCATATGATCTTCAATTGCTTGATTGGTGATTCAATAAACCAACTATAACAACTCTCAAAATTGACTAAACTTATCAATTTCTTTAGCCAAAGATATCCCCATTAATTCTTCTAAATCAAAGATCCATACTTATTTTTTTGCACATTCATTATTTTCTCATAAAAGAATTTCTAGCATTCTATACAAAACTAAAAAAAATATAAACTATTTTTGTTAAAGAGAAACCTACTATTATAAGGGATTTTAAACATGATAGCTAAAATTCAGAATTAGTTACAGGGTATTTCCACAGTAAGCTCCCAAGAGGAAGGAAAAAACAGCTAAAATTGGGTGATTTCATCAATTGAGAAAAACATCATATAAAGGAGTCTCCTCAGCCTGGAAGAAAAGGAGTCTACTGGGTACTTCTAAGCACTTGCTATTCTATAACACTTCAGGAGATAAACTCTTAGTTTCCTATTTCTTACCCCAGGTTTATTACAGCATCTTCATGGACTTCAGAAACACAGGATGACACATCTTCAACCATAGTACCAGTTGGGTACCCTCAAGTAACTAAATTCCAAACCTGTTATGGAATATTAGTTTAAGATGTGTTACATTCATTTATGCTGTGAAATATTTGTTTAGTGATGCAAAGATGTGTTTCATTTTTTTAATGTTGCATTTGTTTAACTCTGTAAAGCTGTGTTACTTTGCCTGCCTAAAACACCTGATTGGTCTAATAAAGAGCTAAATGGTCAGTAGCTAAGTAGGAGAGAGAATAGGTAGGACTGGCATACTGAGAGAATAAATAGGAGGAGAAATCTAGGGAAGGGAGAGAGGAATGAGAAGAGAAGGAGAGGAGGACACCAGGGACCAGCTACCCAGTGACACAGCCCGCCATGGAGTACAAAGGAAAGAAAGATGTACAGAATAAAAAAAAAAAAGGTTAAAAGCCCATAGGCAAAACATAGTTTAAAAAAAAACTGGATAATTTAAGTTAGAAAAGCTGGCTAGAAACAAGTCAAGCTAAGGCCGGGCATTCATAAGTAAGAATAAGTCTCCATGTATTTATTTGGGAACTGGATGGTAGCCCCCGCAAAGAATAAAAAAACAAAACAAAACAAAACAGGCCCAACCCAGACCCCATCCCTGGGCACCAGCCACTCCGGGAAGACCCGCCCAACTTGGCCCCAGGTTCTGGCCACCGGGCAGGTCCCCTTCTAGCCCCACCAGGAGGGATCCCCTTTTCCAAGCCCCCCACGCCCCCGGCAGCCCCTGCAATCTCCACGCCCTGCCTCCACGCCCATCTGCCCTAGACCCCAGCCACTTCCTGAGACTTAGAGACCGGCCCCCAGCTCCCATCCTGCCCCTGACTTCCCTTCTGGACCAGAGACTTCTGGTCCACATAAGAGCTTCCATCCTGCCCTGGAGTTCCCATTTGGACAAGAGAGAGAGACTTCCTGAATTTGTCAGCTCTTTCTGAACCAAGTACACTGATAAGACCAAGAAGGAACCACAAGGAAATGGGCAGACATCAAGGCAGAAGTACATACAACAAAATGAAGAGCAA